CAAGGTGACCACCATGAAGCATCATAAGGGAAAAGCAGAACAGCACCTTTCAAGCAAGCGGTGGGTAAACATTCAAATATCCCAAGGGCAATGAGCAACCAAGGCTCTTGCCGGTCACTCAAGCGATTCACAAGACACAAGACACAATATGAATTGAAGTTAAAGAAATAACTGGAGTTTTCATAGTAAAGTGACCAACCAGCCGAGTTCAAAAGAAAGTATATTACAAAGCTTGAAAAGATAAAAGAGTCTCCATCTATTGCTCGGTGACCTCCTCAACTTCCACCTAATCAACTATGCCCTCCGTGGCTCCGCCTAGTTCATGTACATGCTCATCAGATGCTGTCATCTGCTCAGCAACTCCAGCTGCCTACTTTGCCAAGGAGGCCGCCGCTGAGTCTGCCGCCACCTCTTCAGTTGCGCCCTCATTGGCATCATCCTCCTCAGCTACAGTCTCATCAGCCACCAGCTAGTCAGCTTTGGCTACATGCTCCATAGCATCAACCTCAGCCTCATCAGTTGTGCCCTCCTTGGCTTCATTGTCCTCGACTTCCGACTCATCAGCCATCGTCTCACCAGTTGCCCGCTCCTCGGCCATATATGTGTTTGTGACGGTATCTTGCTCACCTCAAGTAGAAGGTCAAGCGTCCAAGTCGAGACCATGATGTTTCCATCTCTTAACATCACTAGCTGGGGGTAGAGCACCTTCCTACTTTCATGGCCTGACAAACTTTTGCCATGTACGGCTTGAGATCAAGTCTTTTACTGATATTGTCAAACTACAAGCAGAAGACAGAAATCGGTTGCCCACAATAACTCACATATGACAAAACTTTGGATATGTGAGTAAAGCATATCATCAATTTGAGACATATCATAGCAAGACATTGCACCAGCCGCCCATCACAACCCTAGCAGACCCACGACTGCAGGAGCAACCCGCGGTCTCAACAGTCCACAGCAGCCGGTGACAGCCACAGTCCACAGCAACCAGCCAACTGGTCCTTGCCGCGAAGAAAAATAAAAACCCAAGTGTAACCTATCGCAACTCTTCTCCTCAACAAGCAATACAATCATCCAAGATCTCTCCCACAAGCTAGAAAGTAGAGGAAAGCAAGTTTGCGATATGAAGATGAGAAAAGAGAAGCCTTGCATTTATAACCATTGGGTATCCTTGACCAACAAGGAATCACAAGCCTATCCCCATTAGGAGCCCAACTCCAAAAAAAGTCAAAAGCCTACTCCAATTAGAAGCCCAATTTACAAAAGGAGTCCAACTCAAGGAAGAAAGCCCATATGTCATTGGAAAGCCCATAGAGTATTTATCATCTCCTCCATGCCTTACAAGCGCCATGCATGAGTTCGTAGACACGTAGTGGGCTTAAATTCGAGTTGTAACGAAAAGATACGATCAAAATAGGCTAGCGGCATAACTGTAATTTTTGCGAAAACTATTTTTAAAAACTTGATTTTTTTTTTCTTTTCTTTCTCTCTCTCTCTCTCCCTTCAGCGCCGACCAGACCCCCTCCCCCCCCCCCCCCCCCGCTGAAAACTGGAGAAAACCCCCGGTTTTCTCTTTAAATTTCACGACGTCGTTCCGGCCTTTTCCGGCCACCATTTCCGGTAAGTGAGGTATGGTTTCTCATCTACTCTTCGAGCTCTATCTGATGATTGGGTAGGATTTGATCAATTTCTAGCCTAGGTAACCTGATATGTAACCCAAAGTTTCGCCGGTTTCAAATTGAATTTCCTGCCCCTTGCCTTCCGAATTGGACGTTTCCATAGATGAAGGAAGTGTTCCACTCGTTGAGTAGTAGCTATAGCTAGAAGGGTGACCCTTGGTTTGGAAGTTTTCCGGTCACCGGTATCGCTTGTGGCGGTGCGTGGGCACTGTACCAGAGGTGAATTGTGTTCTAATGCGATTTCCTTGTTGTCATGAGTGCGTAGGTGTGCTCGGATTTCAATTTGGATATTGTTTGATCGTCGATCGCATATTAGGCGTTATCCGGGTTCGATATGTTCAGACCGTTGGATCAACTCCAATTTAATATATGTTTATCTACGTATTCCTAGGATCATGTAGGATTTTGCAGATCATGAATAGGAGCCCCGGATGTTCCGATTCAATAGTTTAAAGTTTGTGTTTTACGATAACCGTCCGATCATGCATCGTAAGCGATCTGACCGTTCGATTTTGACCAAACTTGCAGGGTAGGTTTAGTAAAGTGTGTTGAACCTATAGGAACTTCCAGATTAGTAATTGGAGCTCGTGGACCCCACGAGGTTCCAGGTTGACTATTATGGGAATTAATTGCTTATTGGGTCTCGGGTCTTTTCAGGCCATTCGACCTGTTATAAAGGTTGAAGATGGGCCTAGGAACTTTCCTAAATTTTGTACATGCACTTTTGAGCCCGGGTGTCAGGGTTTTTATTAATTATCCATGGTTGAGTAATTTTATTAATTAAATGTTTTTAATTGCTTAAATAGGTACTCGGGCTCTTCGAACCCGTAGGAAGGACCCTCAAAGGGTCAAGCTAGCTCGGATGCTCAATGAGTGGACATTTGTTTTCTAACTAATTTTCAGAAATTATCGAACTATGGTCATTAATTGTTTCGCTTAAGGAAATGGATAATTCATGATTTTCAATTTTCTAAATGGAATTTTATGCATGTTCGAATTTAGTTTGAAAATGATTTTGAAGGATTTTCATGATTAAGTTAAACTAGGGAATTCTGTATGGCTTTCACTTACCAAGCATTAAAGCTTAAGTTTGGTTACTTTTATAAATTTCCTTTGTAATTAATTGAGAATGGCTTGGAAGGTAGAAAAGGGAATGGTAAAAGGATTTAAGGTATTATTGAGAAATAGCATTATAATTTTATTTCTAGGGAAGGTTTTTAAACCACCTTAGGTACCCAAAAAGTTGCCTTCAGATAATATGTTACCTTCGGTTATAATGATGTCCACGAACATCCTAGTTGCCTTCGGTTAAGTCAGTGCATTTGACGTTTGCCCCACGAGTCTTAGGGATATCCGGACCATAAGGAGGGAGAATGCGGCTCAGGTTGACCAAGAGTCTCCTGGGTCTTGCGAGGAATGCAGCTCGAGTCGACTTTGTGTTACCGAGGCCTTCGAGGATGTGTCACATTACGTGACACCAGGAATTGACGGTAATATGGGAATTAAATATAAAAATCATGGAATTGACGGATTTGTTATGGGTACACCTAGGTGGAGGAAATTATTTCTTTACAATGTTTTTAAAATGTTTTCATGATTCGATTGGATGCGTGATTAATTATATGTATATAAAATACGCATGTCTTGAATTCTTGTACGAATATAGAAAAGGAATATAATCAAATTTCTAAATGTTTTGACAGTGGGGTTAGTATGTTCATATTCTATTTTCCAACATTTTATTTTTGTTCACTCACACTTTTAAATATTTTGCGCCCTCAGACAGTAGTCGTGTACCAGAGCGCCACCACAGGGCAATCACCACTATTCACTCATCCTTTCCACTACGTAGAATCTCTTTTGTAATCTAATTATTCCTGTAAATTAAACTGATTAGTTGCTCTGAAATTGCCCTAAGGTCCTGTAAGGCCTGAGGTCATAAAGTTTGATATTGGTTGCGTGAATCCTTTTATTGTGCATGCTAGACATTGGGGTTATAAATTGCTTTTCGTGCATGTGTAAATTTTTGGGATACGAGCCAAATTAGGGGAGACTCTGCCGAATTTTTGGCAGAAGTCAAACCCGAAAGTTAATTTTTGTTTTTATTAAAAGGGCAATTTGATCAAAGTGTGTTTGGCACTTGCTAGGTGTTGGCACGCACAGGGTTCGGCGCAGATTCCAAAGTGGAATTTGGGTCGGGTCCTGTCAAATATTCCTACTTCCAATCACAAAATGCCACATGGACAAGAAGAATATCTCCTTGGTCAATTAATTGAGCCCATTTATTTAGCCAATTAATTGATACTAAAATTATGGATATTATATTTATTTGGTAATATATTTATTTGGCCAATTAATTGATACTAAAATTATGGATATTATATTTATTTGGTAATATAATCACCAATTAAAAGATAATATCATCAATTTAGGATATATTATCTCATTTATCTTATTTTGGGGATTCCAATCAAATCCCTAATTGACTCAATCTCTACAGTTTAGGGAAAGAATATCTTCCTTCCAAATAAGAAGATATTCAGGGAAGACATTCTTTGAAAAACCCTAGATGGCTAGAGCCCTATAAATACATAGTCACATTCAACACACAAGGTAATCCGATTTTAGCTATTGCCGTATCTTTTCTCAAAGATCCAATCGAACTAACTTAGGCATCAGAGGGCCTCCAGAATGTGGTCTTTTATTCCTATTTTTTTCACATGAACCAAGAAAGCGAGAGAAGAAAGCTCAAAAAGTGAACAGGCGAATACTCTCCCGTGAGAAATTTGCACAAACACACCTGACCAATCTCTCAAATAAAAAAATGAAAACATTATGCATCCCAACAAAACTTTTTGACTCATTCACTTTTCTAATCACTACACCAGAATACATCTATTACGGCGCACAAAGCACGTCGTGAATTATCAGTCATGACGCGAAACACGCAAGCAATAAAAGCCCGCGTCGTAAATAGTGTTCCTCAATCACGGCGTGCATGAATGTCGTAATAAAAACTTAAGACAACGTTCCTTGTGAGCCATAATTCAGAAGCAATTACGACATGCTCTGCGCTTCTTAAAAGAATAATTACGGCGTGTTCCGCACGCCTTCTTAAATGACTAATTACAGCATACAATGCACGCTGCAAAAGAGTAATTAATTCCCATTTAAGACGTTCATTGCACGTTGTGTTTAACTTTAAATTTTTTATTAATTTTTTTTTTTTTATTAATTCCCTGCCTGCTCCTGTTTCATATTTACCAATCATAATCAATTCCAACCAAAACGAAAAGTAGTATTGCAACCAAACTTGAAAGAAAGAACCATTTCATTGAAAACTATACCAATCATAATCAAATTCCAAATGCAAACTCTATAGAGTATTAAAGAAACACATAATAGTGCTGCCAAATCTAACAATTTACTTTTACACAGCCTCCAACTCATTCACTCATAATAGTGCTGACAAACCTACAACGCAACCTATGCAAAAACCTCATGATAGCACTGGCAGTAGACACCATCTAACAAGAATCAAACTCACAGTTGACCTGCGGCAATGGACACCTGCATTTTGTTTGAAAACTCATTTTAGCAACTTAACCATTGTAACTTGCCAAAGGAAAAACCTCATGATAGAAGGGCAAAACTAAGCCTGAATGTTATGATTGAAGTGTGCATTATTAAGGAAAGAATTTGCCAAAGGAAAGAATAAAAACAAAACAAAATAAGAATATTAGAAGACATATATTATGATTGAAGTACGCATTATTAAGGAAAATGGTGGAAAAATATTTGTCTCCTGCATATCCAGAAAATTATGTGTATGCCTTTTTATCAACACAACAAAATTGGACAGAGGCAGAACTTCTTGTTCTTCACTTTGTTCTTTACACAACTAGAACAATTTATATCATGAAAGACAGATAACACATCAAACATACAAGAACCAGATAAATGACTGATAGATTTTACCTATAATGTTTCCTCTGCTGCCATATCATCCAAAAGAAGTATGTCCTTTGCGACTCTAGAATGAATACAACCTGACCAAGTTATGTTTAGCCTTATAGCCATAACTCACTAGAACGAGAAAGGCACTAAATCCCTTAACAACGATAACAACAAATAATATATGAAAGAAAAATGTGCGACATGAAAGTTACCTGATCTATAAATTATGCAGATTGAAATTGTTGCATTTGATGGGTATTCTGGAACCCGTCAGAGCCATCTAGAGCCTGATAAACAAAAAAATTGCTGAAGTTAAACATGAAACTACAAGTTCCTAATATAAAGTACATAACTTTTTTATTCTTATATGAATTGGAACATTTCAACAAGATTTTACCTCTCTCAAACTATGAATAACAAGTTGAATTTGTCTCTGAAGTGTTTCCTCTGCCATTAGATGAACATTTCAGCAACAAGTTGAATATCTATCAAACTATGAATAACAAGTTGAATTTGTCTCTGAAGTGTTTCCTCTGCCATTAGATGAACATTTCAGCAACAAGTTGAATATCTATCAAACTATGAATAACAAGTTGAATTTGTCTCTGAAGTGTTTCCTCTGCCATTAGATGAACATTTCAGCAACAAGTTGAATATCTATCAAACTATGAATAACAAGTTGAATTTGTCTCTGAAGTGTTTCCTCTGCCATTAGATGAACATTTCAGCAACAAGTTGAATATCTATCAAACTATGAATAACAAGTTGAATTTGTCTCTGAAGTGTTTCCTCTGCCATTAGATGAACATTTCAGCAACAAGTTGAATATCTATCAAACTATGAATAACAAGTTGAATTTGTCTCTGAAGTGTTTCCTCTGCCATTAGATGAACATTTCAGCAACAAGTTGAATATCTATCAAACTATGAATAACAAGTTGAATTTGTCTCTGAAAATCTCTTAGCTGAAATGGTTTTCAGCAGCTTCGCATATCTTATCAACTTTAGCCTCAGATAAACCTTTGATTCCAGTCAAGTTCTGCCAAACAGAAATCAGAGTAAGGAATCGGACCTTAACATGCTCAGTATAAGAAATTAGAGTTTAAATTCGTTTTACCTTCTTCATATGTATCATCAAGCCATTGCAGGTGTAGATCCTAGCGTCTTCAAACTTCTTAATATCCCCGGCATTGATTCTCTGAGCAATCATTGCACAAAACCCATGCGTTACTATTAGAAATTCGATTCCTCAGTTTTGAAGCAAAATTCGCTCAAAACTTACGTCTACAGAATCGGGGAAAACTAGTTCGATCTCACCGAGAAATCTAACTGAATTACTTAAACGAAGAGATACTCATATATTTCAAGAGTTTTTTTATATTAAGAAAAACAGAGCAAATCAAATAGAAAACAGCACGCTTTATTACTTTTTTAAGGCGTGCTTTGCCATATGCCGTAAATATCATATATTAACGACACGCACAAAAAGCGTGTCGTAAATCTCAAGTTGTAAAAGCTCCAATTTGGTGTAGTAAATCTTTTGTCGCCTTCTTTATTCCGAAGCTTTAATTGGAAACGAAGAGATACTCATATATTTCTGGAGTTCTTTTTATTATGAAAAACAGAGCAAATCAAACAGAATTTTAAAAATACGAAAAGAAAATTGAAATGCGATTCAGCGCTGAACACTGAATCCAAGACGTACAGAGATTGAGCTTGAAACAATGAATATTTAAATAAATCAAGAAAAATAGTTAACGATATCAATTTTTCTGAATTTAAACGAAAATAATGTGCCGTATAAATCAAGAATTAAAGACAATGAGGCCTCTAACCACATGAATGCAGTAGGGAACATGATTCTGACAAGGTATATAGACTATAGATGCGTGATCTAGAGTTTCAAACCATCGACTAAAAACCAGCTTTTAGCATGAAGAGGAACACAGGTACGCTTGAGTGAAATTTGATGTTTCCATGAATTTGCTTATTTTATATTCATTATGGTATGGATACTCAATTGCATGCCGTAATAGATAAAAAAATTTAGACTTCACGGTGTATATCTAAACATGCCGTTAAAAGACACAAAAATTACCTTTTTAAGGCGTGCTTTCACATGCCGTAAATATCAGTTATTAACAGCACGCTTTATTACCTTTTTAAGGCGTGCTTTGCCATATGCCATAAATATCATATATTAACGACACACACAAAAAGCGTGTTGTAAATCTCAAGTCGTAAAAGCTCCAATTTGGTGCAGTGAATCTTCTGTCACCTTCTTTATTCCGAAGCTTTAATTGGACAAGGTATATAGACTATAGCCTATGCGTGATCTACAGTAAACCATCGACTAAAAACCAGCTTTTAGCATGAAGAGGAACACAGGTACGCTTGAGTGAAATTTGATGTTTCCATGAATTTGCTTATTTTATATTCATTATGGTATGTGTTAATATAATTTGTGTGAGTTCTTTTACCCTATAGCTTAGTGACTTGTAAGTTTTTTTTTAAAAAAAAAAAAATTTGACGTGGTAGTTGTAGTATGTCTTGATTTCAAATCTCACAAATCAGAGTTTAAAATTATTTGTACATTCATTACTTATGTTAATAGAAGTGCTAAGGTAATTAGTGGTTTGTATTTCAATACCATGTTTTAAGTTAGAAGGATGTCGAAGGCCTAATAGAACGATTGATGGGGAAAAAAAACCAGGTTAATGGAACAAATGTCATTTTCTTTTTGCTAGGAAGTATTGTCATTTGCTTGCATGTTTTCTTTGTCCTACGTAATATTATTGGATTTTCATACAACGGTAGTATAGAACATGTATTAAACATTGATCCGTATATGTTAAATTACTTAACAAGTTAGACATGTACTTTTTTTGTTGTTGATAAAGTGATATTTTTTATTAATTTAATGTACGAGGAAGGGAATCAAAATCAGGTTAGACGGTACTTCTTACTCAAACATTTTGTTTTCCATTAAAAAAAACACCTTTTTTTAAGAGATCATTCTTCTATTTTATTTTGAGAGACTGAGGGCCCAAAGACACCAACAGACAACTTGGGGTCTCACACTCTCAGAACCTTCCAACGAGGGAGGCCCAATAGAAGAAAGGAGGAGATACTAAAAACTTTAAGACCAAAATATCTAGGCCCGTCAAACTTTTATTCCCCTCGAGATTTGTTGTTCAATAAAAAATTGACCCAAAAAAAAAAAAAACCAGAACGATATATGTTGTTGTCGTGTTGCTGTCAATCTATGGAAAAACTGTCGTGCAAGACAAAACTCGTAAATAGTAATTAAAAATGCTCACCTCCCGATGGATTCTTGAGCACAACACCCCTTAATAGTAATTAAAAAAGCTCACCTCCCGATGGATTCTTGAGCACAACACCCCTTGTTCCTTGTGGAGTAGGTTAGTTCCAGAAACAGCTTTGGTAAGGAAAGTTCTTCAAAACCAAGAGGATACGTATTTTAATATTGTTTTCGGATGTCAAATCTTTAATATTTGGTTTGGTTGAAGAAGATTTTGGAAGTATTTGGTAACATCCACTTGCAACAAGAGCACATGGGATGCGATTAGGGAATGTCTTATCGGTTAAGTACGAGAGATTAAATGTCCCAGAAAGTAGGTTTAGGATTTGGAATTTGGAATGAGACATTTGGGTTTTGTATCTTATATAATATTAAGAAATGTTAATTAGGTGTACAAAGATATCATTGCAGGTCAAAAGAGCTAGCTAGCTAGGGTAAAACCAAATTAGTTGTTAATGATTAAGCTAGATTAGCATGGGAGTTGGTAGACCAATCAAATTAACTCATACTGTTTAAGGATATTGAAAAGAAAAAAAAAACAATTAGAGGTAAGAAGTGAAAATAGAGATATCAAAATGCTATTTGTATCATATTTATCGACTCTAAGTCTCTAATTTGTATTAAAGAAATAGTCAGTAATGTGTTCAGCAAATGTAGTATCCACCTGTATTTAGAGATGTGTAAAATGCATGCGTCAATATTCCTCCATAAACTATAATGAAAAAGCGACCATCTTTTTCTGTCCTTCCACCATGTATAGAAACAGTGATTAATCTAGCTTCCTATAGGCTTTATGCCATACTCTCTTGTCTTTCTATCATTTGGGGTACACCATGTAATTATCAAACCACCATAAAAAAGAAGAAAAGAAAAAACATATTCTCTCGCATGCAACATTTGCATCCCAATACTGTTTAACTTTTGTTGTCTTGTTCCTAGAATTCTACATTTTTAAAAGTAAATTTCTATTTGAGGGATTGTACATGGAAGAGGCAAAAAGTAGTGGTTGAAAGCAAAGTGTGTTCAGATCAATGTCACGGGCGGGATGGTCTTGTTTGTGTGTGTGGGAAAATGTATGTGGCTGGCTGCCATGTTCAATGTGGTTTGGAATCACATGAGGGGCGGATTCTTTTTCAGATTTGTTGTTTCTGCGCTGGTATGTGTCACAGGTGGGTTCTCTGTTGGAAATTAACTTCCATCGTGGTTTGGGTTTTTTTTTTATTGGATTTTGGTATAAAAAATTGGGGTGCATGTACATTGACAACAAAGTTTACAAGGAATTTTTAGCTCAAGCAATTTGGAGTATTGATCTGTATACTCTCGAGGTTGTGTTTCCATTCTCATTTTCCTATAAAATCTGTAGGAGAAACAAAGGTGAAGGCTTATTAACCAAAAATTATTTGGAAAAAAAAAGAAGGAAAGTTGAAGGCTTAATTTGATCAGTGCCCTATTTCCTTATCAAACAAAGAATTCTAAATAGGAAACATCTTGATCTAAACACACTCCTCTTAATGCTTCGTAATCTATTTCACTGTTCACATGTCCTCAAAAGATTAGGAAAAGGTTCGAAAAAGAAAAGAAAGAAGTTTAGTCCCAAGGCGAGTAGGAGTCTGGAGCCTCTACTTAATGTGTTTCGGATTTATTCTGGCAAGAGTGCTAAAATCTATGGTTTCTTAACTTCTGATTTTGGTCTGGCAAGAGTACTAAAATCGTTTCAAGTACAACAAATTGCTCTTGTGAGGTACGCTTTCTAACGTTATATTCCATATCATATTAAACTCAGTCATGGTGTGTTCTAGAATGTAAGATATAGTTGTTTAGCTGGGAGCTGTTATTGATATACTTTTAAAACGTCATCCTGCGCTCATTTTGTATAAAGAGATAAGAGAGAAATTGCATTCCGAGGAGTGCATGATTACTTTTTTAGAGTGCTAATAACAGTTCCTTTTATTAGCCGTGTACAATTCAAATTGAGTTTATAGATATCTTGAGTTCTAGTGGTTTGAAAACTGAAGCATGAGACTTTGTGAGTTGCCGTTTCTTCATAGTCTACTTAAAATACAAAAATGAAAGAAAACAGAAGTATTTCTGAGACTTGAACTTTGACGGCCAACACCCAACGTAATCAAACTTTGACGTCCAACACCCAACGTAATCAAACTTTGACGGCCTAAACCCCACGTCCAAGAAATTAGTGTTGAAAACATCATTATAAAGAAGTATTCTAATCAATACACTTATTATTACAACGAGATTTTAAAGCACACCTCTTGAACATTAGGTTGAAACATTAGCATGTAATTATAAGCTAATGGAGGATTAGTATCTCCTGATTAACTGATGATTACAGTGGATTTGAATGTTAATCACATCCTAAAAGTTAGGCACAAATTGCCACCTTTCTTGACGCCCTCCAAAGGAAAATCACCCGTCAGCTTGCTCTACCAAATACCAACAGGCAATTATAATAATTTAATTACGGCATGGCCCTTAACGAAATTTGTCAAATTTTGGTATAACAGCACAAACAGTTCCGGAGAAATACACCCCATCCGAAATTCAACAATATTAGTTAACTGAAATCTCAAAATTTGTCAAAAAGTTGGCACAATTTCTAGAAATTTGTC